CACCTCTAGATAGCACATACAGACAGGTGCCAGCCGAATGACTTCAGCTTTAATTCCCTTAGTCTTATTTCACATCACTTATAAGTATCTTTTTGACCATGCAGAAACGAATAGACTTTATCCACCACAGACCATCCTGCAGGGTTGTATACAACATGAAAAAGCAAAAGTTCCTCATGTAAAAAGTGACCAGTCTGAAATTTGGAAGGTGAGTTGGATACTTACCATGTTATTTTAACTGAATGATACATTTAAACTGAGCTCTTTTTTTATTTCTTGTTCATTTCTGTTGTTGAGTCAGTGTGTGACGCATTGCTTTGTTCCTTGCAGGTGCTTTGTTGTGCGTAAAAGGAGAACAACAAAGTAAGAATGAATGGCTCCATTCTCACAATGTACATAACAGTAAACATCTTTTGAAGTCACCCCTAGTGGTCACTTAAAAGAACTGTCAGGACAGACGATTACTTTTAAACATAGCATACATTAACTGGTCCTAGAAGTCAGTACATACAGTATTTGATAACCAACAATGTAAAATTTTCTATGCAATCCCAATAGTCTGCGTATGATCTCTAGCGTCATAAATTAGATAATCTTTGTGTAGCATTTAGCACAATATACACAATATAATGTGAGTGCCATGAATTTATGACATACTTGAATAAACTTATCTCTAAACTACAAAGTTTAAATGGTATTTGCTCAATGACTAATATGTCGTGACTCTTCAGGAAAACTGTACCACAGTAAATCCAGGAAGTATTACATAAATGTCTGTGCACAGCCTACACTGGAGGTAATTAACAGGTTTAAACCCATACCAGGGTAGTGGATGGGAAGAAGATCCTATCCCTGGGCAGGTCTTTTAATAAGAGCATTGGGGATAGCGTGACACAGGTTCTCTATTGAGACCTTCAGCGCCTCTCCCAGGTAACAACACACCTGTAGTATCACACAGACCTTTGCAAAATTCACTTAATGAAGCACGCGATACTGCATCATCAGAGTTACAGTAAGGCAGAAAAAAAAGTATTTTCTCACAACACCGTGCTCACACTGTGGTTGTTGCATTTTTATCTTGAACCATGTTACAATAAAAACAGAAAATAAAACTGCAATTAAAAATGTCTTGCATCAAAAGTAGTGGTCTAAAGAATGGCCGAGGGGAGTCATGCTCCCTGAGATGAGTCATTAATTTTTTACACTATTCTCACTGCTTTATATTGTACGTTACCAGGTTGACTCTATGCTGGAGTACATCCTTCAATTTCAAAGGAAAAAACACAATTAGATGGAAACAGGGTGAAGTGCTTTGTCCTAAATCCAACCTAGTGTTTTCATAGAGGTGGAAAACGAGCTCACTTGGCCCCTGGGGGCCCATATGAGACCAAAGTAGGCATCAGGTAGTCACTGTCACTGCTGCTCATTGACAATACCTAGATAAGGGGAAACTGCAAAGCCTCCATTTTACAGTAAATGGCTTGCTGGAAATGTACAGACTGATTTCCAATAACACCCGTGCAAAAAACACTAAATAATGTCTCTGGTGGGGAATAAAACACCTTAACAGCATTAAAGTAAAATTCACCTCTACTGTAATATTCTGTCTGGAGATATTAGCCTGTGAAATGCATCAGCATGTTTTACAGAGGGGTTACTGTTTCTCCCATAGTCTTCTGCATGGATTTCTTTGCTACAGAGAATAACTAATGACAAAAATTCCTGTCTTGGACACTGCACTGCCTTCATGAAAAAGTTCTTGGGTTTCACTTTAGGCTATAGTGTAATTAATTATAAATGTACATATTCTTTGCCTGGGCACGGTATCAGACGGGTCCATTGACCTTGTGGAGCGGACAATTGTTCAATTAGCCAAAAGCTCCTGCTTCACCTTAAGACAAGTGGGGGGACTAGTGGAGAATTCATAACTGGAGAAGCTGCAGTGCATAATGTTCTAATGAATCCAGTCCATCCTTCAAGTAAGCCACAGTAATGAGCCCAAGGAAAGTGATTGTCGTACATTTGACGGTTCGCTGACTCCACCGTCGTCGTCTTTATCTCAGATAGAAAGGAGAGGCGGAGGAAGGATCACTATTCCTTGGAGATGCATTTATATCTCGGTCTCTACAAAATTCCCTCTTGGGACTGTGAGCTGAGATGGCGTCCTTCAAGCCCTGCTGGCTTTCTTGTCATCATGAAATGGGAGCAGGAGATTACAGCATGAGGGATGTAGAGGAAGAAGATGGAGGGGGTGGGGGTGGGGGGTGAATACTTCTAATCTAGTCTAATCCCATTGCACAAAACTAAGATACATTTCTTGACATAAATGCTCAGTTCTGAGCGAAGGAAGAAAAAATGGGATTGGGGCCAATAAAAAGGGATTGTTTGCAAAGTATGACTTGGCTGATATCACTGAAAAATATCAGCCTGTTTATGTATTACAAAGAAAGGAAGTGTAACAATGCAACAAAGGGCAAACAACAAGTGGAGATTATAAAGACTCAATTGGCATCGTCGCCCCAACAAAAATCTTGACAAGTTACATTTCAAATGTGAAGAACTAAAATCAAGTAATGTCATAGTAACGTCCATAATGAATCAAAGTCAATGATATCAAATAACAAAGTTGAAAAAGAGAAAATAGAAGTGCAGCTATAACATCATCACTTGAACCATGAAATGTCCTCCCCATCTTTAATGTCTCACTTCCGCCCCAGTGGGGCAACCCCCTACTTGGAGAAGCGCTGGTCTACAGCACGACAACAATGTTTAAACATGAAATATCTAAATTCAAAAGTAATACTTATAACACATTCCAAAAAAGGCTGAAGAGAGCAGCTAAAAATGATTCATTCACATATTTCAAGATATTTCTCATTTAGCAGGTTTGTAGGTTCAGAATCTAATTAGAATCCACTGTCAGCCCAGTCTTCTGCAATTAGGGATAGCTTTTCCAAGAAGGTTTTCTGCCCTAAAACCGTGAAGTAAATTATACTACAAAAGAAGAATACTAAAAAAAAGGTTTTTTTGAACTGTTGTATTCATGGTAAAAGGGTAGGCGGTCTATACATATACTGTATAACCATACTTGGCTTGGTCTATAGTTTAAAGCCAATTAGACCACATGGAGAGCAAAATGAGGTTTTCTATATAACTGATCCACTTAAAGCACCATTAAAATAAGTATGGTTTTTGCAGGCGATGTGCTGATGCTGCCACACTGGCACTAAAAAGGTACCAAGGTAGTAATTTTGCACAGTTCATTGTGTTTAATGAAGTGTTTTGTAGTGTAATTAATGACAAGATGACAGACGTGTAAAGTGAGCGACTCCCTATCATTAGCTTTTGTAATTCATAATGTATTATGATATTTGTTTTTGTTTTATTATTGGATTTGTGTGGGGGCTAAGCTGTGGAAATGTGTTAAAAATGCAAGTAAATAAACATAACTCATACTTCAAGGAAACAGAACATTATATTTGGTGTTTCTCTTTCCAAATCTTTTTCTTGTCCTGATCGTTAATACCTCTGTGAATAAAGATCAACACCGTGACCTTCCATCTCTTCATGGCCCAGTTCATGCCTCATTCCTTTCTTTTCAAGACTCATTTTCTCCGGCACTCCTTCTTTCCATTGACATTCAATGATTTACAGAGCCCCAAGATTATTTCTGAGAAAGCATTCAGGGTGACTGCTGATGCGAGAGCATCTGGGATTCTCACAACCCACCGCCCCGCTTGTAAGAACACGTCTTATCAACATTTTCTCCCTGAAAATTGCGTACTGGATGCTGTGCATTTTAACAACCACAGGCTGCACATGGCTCTGCTCTAAGCTGCATCGTCTGGCTCCTGACCTAGTCCATCAGAGACCTCACCTTCTCCACATCACCCAGAGCGGGGGTCATGGGTCTCTTACTTCACTAAATTACAATAAAGTGCAGCATGTTGCACAGAAAAACAGGCTTTTGTTTAGATACTGTCAGCTTCACTGCAAATATATCTTATCAAATATATAAGGGCTGAGTGTGTTTTGAATTAGTTAATAAAGCTACCTTAAAGGTTAGCCAATGTCACATCACCCTGCATGACAATACTTTATTTAATACGCATTTAATCTAACACATAAGTAAAACATGTGTGTAGACATGTAGCAGTACAGTATTCTGAATCAGGTAAATGAAGGGTGTTTATAGCATCCCCTGAAGGGGAGAAAGAGGGAGTGTTATGGGGTTTCTATAAATATTTATGTTTTTTTTACACATTTCTGATTGAGCGCTTACAAAGTAAACAACTTACTTTGGATTTGCAATGTAACTCACTGAAGGACGTGGTGGAAAGAAGTCTATAGATTTATTTTGGTCATATCTACCTGCTAGTCAAAATTTAAAAGTATTGGCAAAACTTTATTCAATAATGAAACTTTGGGAGTAAAAAGGCCACATTAACAATTAATGTAGGTGTGAGAATGGAGGTGAAAGAGTAACATTACGTTTTTTTCTGTCCCCAAGACAATCGCACTTCAGCGACCACTCTGTGTCTGAATGTGATTTTGTCGACAGACGGGGCTCAGGCAGAGAGAGATTTTTGCGTGTTTGTGTGTAGTTTTCCTGTGTGTGATGTATGTGTGCACCCTGTGTGTTTACAGCTTGTATGGATGAGGATGTCAGTAAATGGCCACTGGTGAGTAAAGGTTACGTGGTTACCAGCAGAATTGCCTCCACCTGAAAAATGCACTGTGTAGCAGCGGCAAACCTTATTATCAGTTACTGCAGCTACAAACACACTGCTTTTGTTTGGAAATGGGCTTTGTTTTCAGGCACAGAGAAAAACAATGACAGAAGACAATATACTGTTGATTATTGTGTTCAGTTTGATAAAAAAAATATCACCTGCTCTTCTTTCTATGCCATTTACCACCATTATCATCAGAGCCTCGATGTCATGTATTTGTAAAATACTAAATATGTGTATAATTGAAACAGTGTATTGTAAACTCACAATGTGGAGCTTCAGGAAATCCCCCAGGCCAGAGGAGCTGTCCACCCTCACCAGGACAGCATCTTTTAGGTGCGTGCTGAAACCAATGGCTAGCCGGTCTGCCCTTGTGCTGGGACGGTCATTTGGCGGCCAGGTGTATGTGATCAGCCCACCGTCTCGTCCAAATATGTAGGTTGTTCCAGCTGGTAAAGAAATAAGAAGCAGACATTAAACAAATGGATATGCCTGAAAAAAGTGTGTAATTGACAACAGGCACTGAATGCCAGGATCACTGTAGCAGATTCTAGATCAGTTCAGAGTGTACTGGGAGCTCGATGTTGTGTGAAGTAATGACTTTGCAAAGCACACAGCGACACATCACTCTCAGGACCCACTGGGAGAGTAAGTGTAGCCATGTTATCACCACCCCCCGACGCAGGTCGGGGGAGAATTGTGTTTTAGTTTTTTTGTGGGGGGGGGGGGGGGGGGGGGTGTGTGGCTGAAATGATAGAGACAGGAGACACTTTCCTCCTAATGCTGCACAATTACACTTCTTTAGTGTCACTGCAGGCTACTGCTCTTCTAGTATAGTAGAAAATAAAGGTGGTTTTACTACAAAAGTCTCCCCATCTCACATGGAAATATACAGCACCGTCACTGACTGACAGGTCCAATCATAGCCTTTGTCTGACCTCCAAACCATTTACTCACTGTCACATTACATTACTACATTGCATTACTACATCGACTTCACAAGCTGCATCACAGACCGACCTGACACGGCCTGTGTGATGTGTTGGAGTCTTTGTAATTACCAGGCCTCACAGCAATTTGCTAGTGACCTAGTCAAATTATTAGTTAGAAATAAGCCCTTCATGACTAATAGAGGATGGTAGTCAATTAAACCTGGGATATTGTTCTAGAGTAAGAACCGTCTGGGGGTCTTGATGCTGGCCAACCAGAAACTGTATTACAGTTTTTTAAAGCTGCCATACTCATCTGAATAAAACAAGCTTCCATTTCTACCCAATTACAAAACCTCCATTATCGGGCCAGTGTTTCAATTCACTGCTTCTAAGAAATTGAGAAGTGATGGCCATGGAGGAAATCAGTGTGTGTGTGTGTGTGTGTGTTCATAGTGTGCAAGAGCATAGCGTGATTGGGAAACAAATATCTGTGTGAAAGCTGGGAAATGAATGCAGCTGTCAAATTAGCATAAAAATAGCTATATTCATGAAAAATTAAACAGGGTGCAACAGTGTGATATGCATTTACGTATGCAGGGAGGTGTGTATGTTTGTGAGAGTGAGAGAGATGAAGAGAGAGAGAGAGAGAGAGAGAGAGAGAGAGAGAGAGAGAGAGAGAAGGTGCCAGAGTTGCATTGTGTTAATATTCATAGGTCCGAGGAGTTAAACAGCCTCAGCCCAAACGATAAATAATAAATCTCATTGACTGTAATTCCAATATTTTCTTGTAAACAAGGATATTTAAACCGTCAATACATTTTTTACCTATTTATTTATTGCTGTTGTTTTATTCCCCTCCGGCTCATTTGGCAAAGCAATGATTTAAGTGTACTGTTCTTCTCCATTCTATTATTTCAGTCCTCATGCAAAGGCAGCCGTTAGCCCAAGGAACGCTGGCTGCCTACTGCAATTAGCAAAGATGTGGCTAACAATTATTGGAGGAACACAAAAGTCTATGACGAGATCTAAAGTCGTCGTTAGGCAAGACTGGCATCTGTAAAACATAATGCCACAAAACTCCACTCGCTAGCATTCTTCTGCTAACAGATAATGTGTTATGGAATCTAATGACGTCTAAGAAGGAGAAGACATTAAGTGGAATATATTTTCCAAGCAGACATCATTTATTTTTCATAGAGCGGCAGACATTGCTGAACACACATCATGTTACAGTAATGCATATCTTTACACACCATCTACAGCAGATGACCCAGAATTCCAAACTGTTCTCTACTTGATAACACACACACATACACACACACACACAGACAGACACACAAAGCGACCCTGAAGCCCCTAAACACTTGCTCCAACTCATCATAATTAAGCTCTTAAATCATGCTTCTGTTGGAACCCGGTGAACCCCTAAGCGTTCATTTCCACACTGTCTATTCATATAGTTTGACACTTGCTTTATCTTACAGACCGCTTATGTGCTGTCAGTGACCAGAGAAATAAAAAAAGGTACAAATGCGGGACTGTCAGCCTTAATTTAAATGTGTAAACAGCACGGCCAACATGCCAAGACACCAGTCGCCCTGTGACATTCAGATTATATAAATGGGACGGCAGAAAGCTTCAGAGAGTGTGCAGATTATAAATCTAGCAGAGACCGGAGCACCAGTCTAAAATCCATGAAAGATTGCAAGGGCTGCTGTAAGAACTCCTTGAGGGACTGTTAGGGGATTAGGGTACATGAAGAAACATGGCTAATGCACACCTACACGCCTTTGCAGTGGCATGAAATCAGCAGACACGTGCCTGTGTAACTCCAGTGGTGGGAGTAATTATGCACCAGCACCATATTTGTTATTGCGCTCCCAGGAGACACGGGGCCCTGATATGGATCTGTTGTAGTCATTAGATATAGCAGTGTCCTGGAAATGCTTGCCTGTTTGTTGTCTCTTTAATTTGACAATAGTTTCAGTTTATTCCCTGGTCACCCGCTGTCTAATGAAAGAGGGGGAAAAAGGAGGAAGAAATGGATACAGGTAGAATCAGCGGGGTTTTGAAACGCAATACCAGCCCATAAAACAGGATGTAATTATTTTTCCTTCATATGCTCCCACATATGTTTCTACCGCCAACGGTCATTTGCATATCCACAGAGGGATCTGGCGGAAAAGAGTGAGAGAGATACCGTTTCTCTGTGCAGGTAGTGGTTACTCTTACGCCTCAGTGTTACCACTAATCAGCTCGACATGATGAACTCCTCACACACACGCTTCCTGTGTTTAAAAATAATGAATCAATCTGGCCTCGTGTCAGAATGCATCCAGATCTGGCAGCACTCTGGTCTGTCAGGGAAGATCATGAATGATGAACTTTGGCAGACATTGTATTTTCATTCGAGATAAAGCAACGGTTCAAATAGATGGAAGGGTTACCGGGCTGTGGGTTAGAAAACACGTAGAAGTTTTCTCCTGTAACTGGCTCTTTAAATGACTCACTACAGGAACTTTACTGCAGTGTAAACCTGCCTGAAAGTAATACTAATTTAAACTGTTCTTTCTGGCTCTGAAAAGCAAAATCTACCTGTCATTTTTGTTGATGCAACATGTCACTGTGCAGTGTGACTATAATTCAGTCTAATCTAATCTAATTCATTCTAATCTCTTATCTCTTATCTCTCAGTGTTATCTGCAGACATGTCATCTGGTGATAGATATAATATGTGTGACATTTTAATAATACAAAATTGTATAATGTATGTTTGCAAAGATTAACAAAATAATACTGTGTGCAGTCGTTTTTCTATAATAATATACAGTATAATAAGACAATATAACACCAAGCATTTCAGTTGACAACATCTACAATACAGTTAGTGATCAATTTCATTTTGATAATGGAAACGCTAAATTAAAATTCTCCAGAACAAATTTGGAGTAATTTGACTGAACCCAAAATGGACATCCAAAATTAGCCCATCTGCAATATAATTCTAATTTTAAATTTAATTCTATAAATTTAAATTAAATCTTTTTGTTCGAAAGACGTTATCATATAAATTGTTTTTTAGAGTGACACTGTCCTAGACAAAATAGTTTTTTTTGTATTATTTCAATTATAAAAAAAACTATATAGATGGTTTTAACAGTTATAAAATTACTGACTCACAAAACTTTTTAAGTGTATAAAGTTCTGTAGTTAGTAGTGCACAAACACAGCTTTGCTTAAAAAGGTCAGGGGCACAGACTGTCTTTCCTCTGACCTCTAACACGGCCACCATAACGAGCCTCATATTACCACCTCTGCCGAGAAACTGTGGAGAAATCCAATCATAATTACATAGTTGTGATGGAAATATGAAAAGGAGATATGACATTATGGATCTGTTTTCTGTCAGCACCTACCAATTGTGTTTCTGTCTATTTTCCGCCCAGGATTCCCGTAATGACTGGTGTGCAAAAATAGATCAGAAGAGATGAGGCATATAATGTAGCTTTTTGAAATTAATTTTTGATCATTTCCTCTTTTAAAAAACTGGACTTAAACACAAAACATTTTTCCTGTATTTCTGCACACATACCTAAACAGTACATACAGGAACATGTGTTATATTTAACCTTTAATATAAGCCAATGACATGCCGCAGGAAAACATATCTGTTTATATGCTTAATAATGTAACAGGATTGAGTGGGAGGGTGTTTGTATATAGTACATTATTAACATACACTCTTACAAGGCTTACATGCAAAAATAGGGAATTAACACGCCCCCTTCCCTCCCCCAACCCTTGGAAAAATACAATTAAAAGCAGCTTAATGATGTCCATTGGATTACTATTCCAGTTTCTGCAAAAATCATTAGTATAATTTATGAAGCCACTACCACCCAACCAAACGCTGCTGGTATCAGGTAGAGCTGCTGTGTCTAATCAATGCTCCTGAAGATTTAGTGCCGTGAGGGAAAACTGAGTCAACATGATCAATTCTCCTCCTCCCCATCTACCTTTGTCTAACTATATTTTATCTTTGGGGGGCAATTAAATGGTCTGGTAGCTGAGGAGATGAGTTGGTAAATAGAAAGTTCTGTTATGAGAAAAACTGTTCAAACACACACACGGCTAATTAAGTGTCTTTTCTGCAGCATGTTCTAACTTGGCAGTCTTCACAAAGGTGTAAATTACAAAGATGGTCCACTAAAGGGCAGCGTTCACAGAGACTCAGACTGTATAATTAAATGGAACATCACACCCTATGATCCAAAAATTGGAGCCAATACACTGACAACTGTTTATTTATTTGCCTAAATATAGTCAATGGTTTCTATTTTTAATTCCCAATCTAATCCCATCCAAGGTTTCTTTGCCAGTATCCTGTTAAACCCACTTCAACTTCCTGTCACACAATCCAGCAATAACAGAAAAAGAAAACAAATAGATAAAGATGCATTTCTTTTCTGTTAGCCAGACATTTTTTTACAAACAAGACCGACTGGTAAGCCTTTAGT